GCATGTACATCCAACTGCCCTTGTGTAGATACTTCAGTGACTTCAGCCCTTCTCCAAAGGAGAGTGGGAGCCTCCAAATCTGAATTGATGGTACTGATTTGGATAGTACCGTCATCCGCACTGACAAGGATCGTGTGCAGAGGAATATTTCCAACTATGAAATGTGGGCTCATTCAGGGCAACAGGTGTGCAACACTCATGAGTCTAATACATGGACACACTGACAGATGACAGCATATTTTCCAGATTATGGAGCGTCACAGTGCGCTGAACTGTTTTGCTGTAAGAATTTGATTGAGATATCTATGAATATGGTGTATAGTTGGTTGTCAGAAAATGGTGTTCACTTGCTTACAAGTCCGCAACTGAGAGGTCCCCTGATGCTTTTCCTGCAGGATCAATGGCAAAAGGTGAGTCCAGAATGGCGCTGCTGTACCATGAGGGCCACTGATAAACACATCAAATGGGAACTTTTTTGGGGTGTGCTTTGACTAACAGCTTGTATAAATATGTTGTTGGTCGTGTTGATGTAGTTTTGTCCAGTGTGGGGTGACCATGTTGATGTTGTTTTGTGTATGTTGGGTTCCACTGCCAGGATTTGCCTTGTCTGGGCATTGACAACTGCCTTTTGATGAGTTTTCAAAAAAGTGAACCAATTTATGGGTGGGATACAATCCATACTATTCCTTTCTGTCAAAATTCACCATCCAAAACTTCCTATCTTCTGTGGGCTGGGTGATATTTATGTCTGTCAGATAACCACATGTAACATTAAAGCCGGTGACATCGACGGTAACATTGCCCACTCCGGAATTAACATCAACCACATCATACAATGTACCATCCTTCAATCCCAGGCTGGTGTTACTCCCCACGATAGATGGAAGGAAGTAAAGTGACCCAATTACATAGGCTGAATGCCCAATATTAACCCTTTTGAGACACAGTTAGTATGTCGGTCACTTCGCCCGCCTATCCGCTTACATCGCTGATAAGCAGGCTATCTGGCCTTGCCTGGAATCTCGCTAATGTTGGGATTCCTGTGCATTACCAAGTTAGATGTACATCTCCAGGATTAACATGAGTCCCGAATGGTTAATCAGGCACATCCTGCATGAGGGCTTAATCAGCCTGCCCGAGAGAACATTAATCAGAACCTCCCATACTGATTAAGGCTCGATTCAATGGGTTTAATAATAGAGTCCTTATAATCGCTTGATTAAGGCTCTGTGGGGCCAACAAATATCAGGGAACTTAAACATCCACTCTGAAGAACAAGTGTCTATCAGCAGAGATAGATCTGTGGGATTTAATCACCTTGTTGTGGTTGATTTGGACTATTCTGGGGACGTGTCTGGACACATGATAATCACCGATCAATGTTGCTATCCCAATATGGGTTCTTGACCTGGGCAAGGCTTCATTGGTGTATATCTCAACAACTACTGGGCGGTTCGGGGAGATTAGGGTATCTACAGAAAGCTGATACCCAACGCTCCTTGAATCTGAAGGTGTTAATCAAGGGACTTTAACCGTTAAACTGGTTCAGCTCTGTTACCGTCCCAAATTGGGTTCTTGGCTTGATCAGGAATTGACGAGGTTATATCTTGGGAACCACTTGGCGGATTAGGGAGTTCTGGGTGTCTACAGAAATGGGAGACTCAGCGCTTTCTGAATCCAATGGTCCGAAGGGCAGGACAACACTATTTGGCTTGGAAGTTCAGTCGAGTCAGACAACCGATCGGAAACAAGGAGTTAAATGGCAGATCTTTAGCTTACTCAGGTAGTGTAATTAGAGTAGTGTAAGCGTAAATGTACAGTATATAAGGAGGGCAGTTCTAGCATGGATGCACTACTGCAGTGGTGGTGGCGCAGGTGCTAGATCCCAGTCTCATAAAGAGACTTGGATCTAGTGCTTGTGGCACTAACATTGGGGTGGCACAGGAGCTAGGTCCTGGTCTCAATTAAGAGACTTGAATCTAGGGCTTGTGTTACAACGGGTAGTCCGTGCTTGTGATCCTGGACTGGTTCTATTAAGAGCTTTGCTTCGTTTGCACAATGTGATTAATATGTCTTGCCTTCGGTGGAAGTAAAACACATAATTTGGGATCGTGATTAAGATGTGTGAAGGGATTTGGAATTTGGATTGAGAACACGGCACCACTACAGCAGCCTTGGAAGGCTTATTACTTGGGATTATGGGATACGGTCGAAAGGGACCTTAAACATCAGTAGCCTTGGAAGGCTTATATTTGGGATATTGGATCGGTCAGAATGGACCTTAAACGATTTGATAGCTGTGAAGCTTGGTATCTAAAATGTTGTTGGATTGACGCACTCGGTTGGCTATGCCAAGAGAGGGTCTTAATCCCACCACAACAGTCTTGCACGCCATTAGTCAAGTGCTCTTGTTCTGAGCGCTTGATTAAGGGCTTCAACCAGTCGAACTGAAGTATCTGTGTCCCTTTTCTACTCCTTCACAGTTTTGTGAAGAAGTCTAAAATGCATGAATACTCGTCGGCACGTCTAAGCTTGTGCAACCGGGGGAACAAGGATGTGGATTCGGTTAGTGGTTGTGGCTCGTACTGCTGCATTCCACTCGTTGGTCCATGTTATCAGCAGTACTCCAGCTGTAGACGGATCGAGGCAAAGCCTTTCATCGCGTTGTATGAGTCGAGATGATCAGACCAGCTCACCCGGGAGAACTGAGAATCAAAACTCGGCAGGCTTCGTGTTGCAACATGGATGGGCCGAGTCCAGTTGAATGTTTTGAAAGCAAACAGTGTGGGTGTGGTGATGTGAAGGACCAAAATATTTGCTAGATACAAGAACACAGAGAGGACACTGATCACTGATCCAGATGTTGCTCTCTGGGACCAGAGCTGGGACAAGGCTGATCTGATCCCGGTCCAGGCTGTGGTACTGTTGTGGGTTGCAGTGAGTGTTTGCTCTGTGCGCAGGTTCTGTCGCATCCAAAGCTGCTGCGTCACAAAGACCAAGGCAGCCGAATAAATCTAAATTGCAACGAGAAAGTAATGCACACGACTGGAGCCATGGTATGCACGGTGCCGAATGTATTCGCAATTGCGGTGATGAGGAAGTTCACAATCTTTTGGTTGTCGAGGGAGAAAGTAATTCGATGTTCTAGGCCTCTTAGGTGAGAAGAGCCAGATGAATGCCCACGAGCAGCGAATGTAAGAATGAGAGATAATAAATGTAAAGTCCTTGATGAATTGAACCTCCTGGGCTTGGGTGCTGGAATGGGCAAGCGGGAGTAAGCTGCAGCACGCATCTGGAGTATTATTGCCGGTACCTTCATGCAACATCTTGAGCAAGGCGGCAGCCGAGTGGACCAGAGTTTCTGCAGAGTCATTGTGGATACATCAGGATTGTATTTTTAGTTCAAACAGATATCTGATCAATGCACGAGAAGCTGGATGCCTCCTCAGACAAACGGTGACCATTCAGATCTTTGGTATCATCTCGGAAAACTGCTCAACACACGCCAAAAGGTCAGAAAGTGGGTGCCCGACCCAGGGAAGACCCAATCTGCAATTGAACCGAAAGCATCAAGCATGGACAGGAGTAGCCACAGACCATCCGCCATCGAGTCCATTACAACTGAATGGTGAAGGCTCAACCTCAACTTCAAGTCAACCGGGTTGAGCCTAGACAACATCCGGGAATCAACAGCCTGAGAGATAATATTGTAACACCAATCCCTAAGTCGGACCAATGCATTCCGCCATGCCTATTAGGTGGGGCAAGCCATTTTTGAATCCTGACCTGAGACCAAAGGGCTTTAATTATTGGTTCAGGGGAGAAGATCAGAGAACAAACCCTCAAAGGCCTGGGGAAAGCAAAAAATGAAAAGTCAAATATAATGGAGAGGAAGCGGAACAGGAGAAAAACGGGAACGGGAGGGACGCCGCAGGGCACAAGCAAGGGTAGCGAGAACGTACCGGAGGTTGGAGAGCATCAGCAGAACCCCAAAGCAAGTCGAATGGAAAAAGCGGTCAGAAAGAGCGAGATAAAACGAATTTGGCCTTCATGCTGCACACATCACAAAGGGTGGAGGAAAGAAACGGGGTGTTTCGGCCGATGATGTTGATCACCACTCGAAAGTTTGTGGATAGGCCTCTTGACTTCTTCCCGCATTTTCCCTCACCGCCAACGCCAACTCGCTACAGCGGTGGCCTTTCATCTCTGCCGAACGAGTTTGCAGGATGCTTGGACTTCAGTAAACACTGGGCCTCTGCCTGTAAACTCCGATCTATTTGCCAAACCTCAAACTGCTATGATGGACAATGGTGCGGCGCTATGCTCGGATTTCTCTGTTTTCTGCTGGAATTGGCTGCAAAATGCGCAAGATACCAACACACAATGGCATCTTCTTTTAACACTAATTACTCAAGCTTTCTGCCCAATTCTGAGTCAGTCCTCGGATACAAAAATGAAAACATGCAGCCTCTGTGGGACTTTCTTCAGGTGATTCAGACAAATGCAACAATGGCTCTATTGTACACTTAGCTGTGGCCTGACAATGCACTCCCCCACAGAACAATAGCTGGAACACGGACACCACAAGAACAAGCACTGTGTTCAGACCCCCCGTAGACTGACCTGCATCAGGAAAAACCCAAGCTTCTATGTAGACCTACATAGACCTACATAGACATTTATAGCAGTCATAGACACCATAGCAAATGGCTAGTTTTATAGTAAGGTGGGAAGGGGGGGGGTCAGATTTATAGACACTCATAGACACTCATAGACCCCCATAATCGTGAGGTTGTCTACGAGAGTAGCAAAAGTTGTAGCACCCATAGGACTTGTAGTACTCATAGTCAACCAAAAAAGTTTTTCTTTTGACTACCCCATCCTTGAGTAAGTATCACTATCAGTTCTTATATTACAGTCTAGCAAGGGATTCAGATTCAACTGACACTTTGAAGAAATGATAAACTGCTTAATATTTAATTAACTGTGAGTTAAATGACTGCCACATGCGAGAATCGAACTCTCGGCCTCGCGAGAAAAGGGAAAATCTTAGATTGACAAAATAACCACTACACTAAAGTAACCATGATGGTTGTGGAAACTCATGTAACATAGTGGGGACTATAGTCACTCTGCCCTCCACCACTGTTTAAACCCTCATTCACTTCAACTCTTCGTTGTTATACTTAGAATATGGTTTGGCAAATGTGTAATACCCATGTAGGTTACCAATCCAAAAAAAGATCCGAAACAAAAGTTGTAGACCTTGATGAGAGCTACAAGACTTGTCTAAGGGCACTTTGGAAGAAATGGCTTTGTTCAATTCGCAGATTTGAGTCCACTATGCTGACTAAGCATTTGGAAGTGCTGTACCGCCACCTTCCCACGATCATTTGACAGTACAAGATCCATTGTCCATTTCGCGTTTCAAGACAAGTCCCCACTACGTTTGGACATTCACTTCCTAACTGCACTCCAGGGACAACTCCCTACTTCACCCTCACTGAAACCATCGAAAATGAAAGTTGGCCTGCAAATCTCAAAATACTTTCCCAGACGTGGTGTTGGCTTTATTATTCATACATTGGTTTTGGGGGATTTGAATGCTCCTGACCAGGTCCAAATATACTTGGTAGGCAAAGTGTGCTCAGCTGAGCTGAGTTGTGTAGTCTGATACTAATTGATAAAAATATCTAATGTTACTCGTAGACCATAATAGTAGACAGCAAAAGTCATAGCCACCCATAGATCATCATAGTAGCACACATAATCTATAGTCCACTGTAGTACCCTGGAGTACACCATAGCATCCAATGCCACCTCCATAGACACTTATAGACACCTGTAGACCACCGGAGACCCACATAATTGCCCATGTGTCTATGGTAGAATTTGGGATTTTCCTGATGTGGGTCTACCTTAGTCTACCTTCGTCTACCCGGGTAGACAGAGGGTAGACTGTCTGTCTACCCGGGTAGAACCTCTGTCTACCCTCTGTCTACCTGGATAGATGGAGGTAGACTAAGGTAGACCTAGGTGAGTCTACAGGGGGTCTGAACGCAGTGAAGACCCGCCATCACTGCGATGAGGCTCTTGTTCTTCTTTTCCTCTATAAAAGTTGTGAAAGAACTGGGTGAGGCCCCATATAGCACCGTGGTATTCTTTCCTGGATCTAGTATACTCTGAGACTTTGTGCGGGTAAGATTCCCATACTCCTTCTATTTAGCGGAAGAAGCCACGGCTCACAAGCAACAAGACCATCCTTCAGAACTATGATTCTTCTGTGGTCCTACCCAAATGCGTCGGAAACCGAGACTCTGGAGAAGTTCTAAATCCAGGACGTGTTCTCCACCGCTATACCTGTGTCCCAACCCGATTCAACACTCTCGATCTAACGGTCGGACGGTGACGGAATACCAATAACATCGATCGCACTGTGCGCGATTCAAAAGGAGCTCAGTGAGGCTCTGGGGGGTGTAGCCCATCTAATCTCACGCAACGGCTAGCCAAAGTTCGCACATTCCGCAATTGAGGTTGTGGACACTGGAAAGGTACGTGTGTATTCATGATAGATGTACACACCAACTCACCCGCAAACAGGAAGCAGTTTTGATCGAAGGGACCACTCAAGGACAGCTCTGCGAGCTCTTGTTCGAAAACGAAGACAAAATTGAGAGCCTCTGAAGGCGTGTTTGCAACTTCTTCTCGTCAGAATTGACTAAAGGCACCTCTATCTGCAGTACTCTGCCCAAAATCCTCGCGAATATGGATAGGATTCGAGAGGAGATGAACAAGATTCGAGAGGAGAAACAACTTTTATGTACTCGAATTCTTTCGTCAGCTTCAGATCTTTGGTGAGCTGGTAGGCACCTCCACAGACCGGTTCGATCGTTCAAGTAAAGCCCTTGCGAAATTTGTTGTCTTGCTCATCCCATATCGACACTGATCTCCACGCAGGCGGCAAGTCGAGTGCTTATTGACAACAGCAAGATTCTGGCCTGGGCCGTCGAGTTGGATGTGAAAAGGATTATCATTCCTAGCCCCACGCAACTCCCCATAATCTTCAAGACAGACTCCACTCCAGGGCTACGTGGCACGGCCCACGGGATCTCTCTCTTTAGAACCATCTACGCCCTGTGACATTCTTAATAGTGTGTGGTAGGCTGATCAGGACCGTGGACAAGAACTAGATACCCTTGAGGCGGCTAGAAGCTTCCGATAAACTTATTTTCGCTGAGTTTTCATCTGTTACTACCCAGAATTGAAAATTTTAAAAGCCAAACTCGCAGCGGGCACAGAAGTGACCACAGTCGACGCAATAGCAGCTGTTATAAGTGAGAACTCAAGGGTTAAGCACATGCTATTAGAGAAACTTTTTCGACTGGAGTCCGAGGTTCAGTGTCTTTATTGGAGACCTGTAAACCTTTATACTGTGCCCCATTATTTTAACTCATCAAACTGTAGGAACGGGTCGAGCTGGACGTAGATTGAAAGAACACCCGTTGCGGATCGCGATAAACTGCCGGGTTAAATTTGGGCATTGCTGCAAATGATGGATGATGCTCTTTTGCCCTTAAGATCTGGATCCGACTTTTCAACATGAATAGCCTCCAATATACTGCTGACAGGTCCCACGGAGCTTGCGACTAATCAGTTAATGGATGACCTAGCCCGCCTAGCTCAATCGGATAGAGCATCAGACTCTAACATTCTGAAACAGACGGGATCTGAAGGCTGCGAGTTCGACACTCGCGGTGGGCTAATGTAATGGCTTTTCTCCGGGCTCGCCCAACGTTTACTTTGTTTGATCATCTGAACTGGCGTTTGAGTCAGTAACCGCCGAGCATCGGAGCTCGAGAAACCTAATTGGATGGGCATTAGGCTTCGGTGACATGTCAGTGAGCAACCCACATCAGAAAGCTGGAGTGCCGTACCCCAACCGTGAAAAAGAATTCAAACATTTCTCCGGTTGTGGTTGAATCAATCGTGATGCAAATCAGCAGATCAGCTCGGGGATCATCCCATCATTATCCTCTTGCTTCACCCCATAACAATGCCTTGCCCTTCAAACTTGGATGCGGAGGCCGTGGTGTATTTTGAATCACACTTTTCACCTGTTGAAGTCGCTCCGACTCGAGCTGAAGCTTCGGATCCACCATTGGTGTTAAGTCTCAGCAATGTGATATTCTCCGATGAAAGAAAAACTTCTGGTCTGGCAGATACACAATGGCTGCCATCTACAAGGGTCTAACTTTGGAGGTTAAGAATTTAGAAAGGGGAGTGCATACAGGCCTGGTGGACAGTAAAGATCCTTGACAGTTGTTGGGCGGTGGGGCTCTGCGAGATGCCTGGATTTGCATATCAGGATAGCCTGGCCATAGTGGACACTCCTTAACCGCTCGAAAGTGACGACTATACGAAGATGAGTTTATTCAGTTCATGGCATCTTTATGTGTACTATACTAACACGGGTTCTTTAGGGACTCCTCTCCCCGAACACCCGGTTCAGGCATACAATCCAGAATTTTGCCGACGGTGTGCCGACTTTCGACACCAGAATGTCGATGGTTGCGATGCTCGCGAAGGCGTCCGTACTGTGGGTGCGTGCTGACAAACTCGCGCGCATGCGGAAGCCGGGTGAGTAACACACACTCTCTAATAATTGCCGCTCTGACGATTGTGTGATTCATCCCAGGCATGCCCAACACAATCTCTGCTAAATTCTGCGCCAATTTCAAGCAGCTTGATGCCCTCATCGACCGCTTCCGCAACTCTCTGGTGCCCCCAAACCAGATATCCCACCCAATACCAGGGATGACGCGGACACTCATCGTGGCGCACAGCATCGCGCATGCCGCCACGGTCCGGCTGCACAGCTTGTTCGCGCACACAGACGAAACAGCGAAGCACAAGCGGCTTGCCGCGATGCGATCGGGTATGCCCCGACCCTTTCAAATGATGTCTGCTGATTTTTGTTGTTAGTCCTCGGAATAATAGCTGCTGTTCCGCTTTGGCATTTCCGATACATCAACCCCATTATGGGGGTGCATCTGCCCACAAAAATTGCTGATTGTTACTCACATCTAATCTAGACAGTTTGGGCCGCCACCTGTGGAGTCTTCCTTGAAGAGATTCATGTGATCAAAGCTCTGAACAGAGGGCCGCCTCGCAAAGAAGAGCTCATTTTGCAGGCATTTCTCTCCAGGTCGGTGGCTGCTCAATCGGATAGAGCATCCGACTGTTACATATGTATCTCTGAAACAGGCGGGATCTGAAGGCTGCGAGTTTAACCCTCGCAGTAGGTCCGATGTCCCTTTTGTTTCTTTTTTTGAATTAGTATTTGCAGTAAATCCTTGAACTGAAAAGTGCACGGCTTACCGGTTAACTTTACAAACTGCGTGAACTAACCCGTGAGCCTCGGCTTAACTCGGTGCGGTCAGTGCACGTGAGATGACGAAGCATGTCGCGTCGACTTTCTTAAAGTCCCGTCCATCTCTGTTCGCCGCTACCGACGCAAAACCCTGACTCCTCGGTGCTCAAAGCGTACAATGGCCAGCATAGAGCACATCCATACCTTTTTAAGTCGAATTCCTGGCTGTTTTAGTATTGACCCCGCTATCCAGTCCGGATGGGAACGCGAGCGTACGCCGAGGTCATGTATTTAGTAGAGGTCTGTGGCCAATCTCTTCAGTCTGAAGAGAACGGTCGCAGGTTGAGTCGCACTTTGAACTCTTGACGTACAAAGGTTATGGGCACCCTGGGCGTTTCCAGTGCTACGCGCTGCACCTTCAATTTAGTCGATAACAAAAACTGGAAGATACTTATTCTCCTTCAAGGCCCAGAACAAGCTTGAGGATGAAGAACACTGGAAGTACATCGTGGGGCCTGTGGCACTGCCAGCCATAGTTGTCCAGCGGCCCACAGTGTCACCTGCCAACGGCACAGTGGACACAGAGATCGAGAATCCCAATTACGCAGACTGGGTGAAAGGGGACGCAAAGACGATGCACAGGATCTCCGCGATGGTCAGCGACAACCAGGTGGCGTACATTCGGGACGCCAAGACGGCCGCAGAGATGTGGAA